TGATCCCAGGGTCCTGAGATCGAGGTCCACATCAGGCTCCCTGCTAAGGGGAGAGCCTGCTTCTCCCTCTCCCTCTGCCCACTGCTCTGCTTACTTGTGCCCTCTCTCTCTGTGTCAAATAAATACATAAAATCTTTAAAAAAAAAAAAAAAAAACAGACTCTTAACTATAGAGAACAAACCAGTGGTTGCCAGAGGGGAGGTGAGTGAGGGGATGGGTGGACTACGTGATGAGGATGAAGAGTACACTTATCCTGATGAGCACTAAGTAATGTACAGAATTGTTGAATCACTATATTGGACACCTGAAACTAATAGAATACTGTGTGTTAATGATACTGGAATTTTAAAATTAATAAATAAAAAATTTTTAAATAAAAAAATAGAGTATGAGTTCAGCCCCTCTTTTCACCTTCCTGTCCACCTCTCCACCCTTTTACTCTCGGTTCCAACAAAAACATCCCTTGATTTTTTTTTTACAGAAACCACTTCCTCAGCAACAACCAAAGGCATGAAGGATGTGAGCATAAGCCCAGTCCTTGAACCCAGCCAGGTAACAAATGTTTACAAACCCCAAAATTAGCAGGTGGAGGTGGATACTATATATTATATGTCCACTATACACTGTATACCATCTGTGTATCATAAATGTGTGACATGTCATATATATTATATATTACATGTTATGGTATGTACTATATGTTAATATAATAGTTTTTAATTATAGTATAATAGAAATTAATTATAACAATAGTACAATGTTACATATAATTTATATTATGTATAACTGAAATATATAAATATACCACTATTTATCGCTATATGTATATTGCTATATATCTCACAGTAGAGATAGAGTGTGTATGTACATATGGATGTGTGTGTGTGTGCATGCACACGTGTGTGTATACTGCCCCCTAAAGATAGGATCCATCCCAGACCAAGAAAGACAGACTAAGTGAAACTGTATTAGGGGCACCTGGGTGGCTCAGTCGTTAAACATCTGCCTTTGGTTCAGGTCATGATCCTGGGGTCCTGGGATCGAGCCCCGCATCAGACTCTCTGCTCTGCGGGAAGCCTGCTTATCCCTCTCCCACTCCCCTCTGCTTGTGTTCCCTCTCTCGCTGTCTCTCTCTCTGTCAAATAAATAAATAAAATCTTTAAAAAAAAAAAAAAAGAAAGAAGAAACTGTATTAGGGTATGCTGAGCTGCTACAACAAAGAGGCCCAAATATCCAACAGCTTTAAAAAGATGGATCTTTATTACTTTCTGAGTTAACGGTCCAGGCTGGTGAAAGGACTCTGCTCCATGAGGCCATTAAGGGTACTCACATTCTTCCCATACTGCTGCTCCACCATCCCCTGGCATCTTGTCCTCAATGACATGACCAAAACTGGGTTGCTGCAATGTGGTATTTGTACCAGTGGATAGAGGGGAGATGAGTCCAGGGCAATTTGCCTAGAGCACAAAGTGAAGAGGGGAGAGTGGAGAAAAGGGATACATCTACTCACTTGATTATATGCTAATGAAGTTGTGATAATTTCCTTGGAGATCTGTCTTAAAGCAACAACCCAGAAGTCGAAGGTATCACGGCAAAACCTAGCTGCAAGGGAAGCTGGGACAACGTGGTCTGTATATGGGGAACATGGTCCAGGAAAAATTTTAAGGAATTCATTCAATTAGTAAAAGGAAGGGGGAGGGGAACAGATATTGTAGGCAGTTACAAAAGACAGACCAAGAAAGTGCCTGTTAAAACAGAGGAGCATAGAGGAAGGGAGGGAAAAATAGAATGGGACAAAATCAGAGAGGGAGATAAACCATAAGAGACTCTTAACCATAGGAAACAAACTGAGGGTTGCTGGAGGGGTGAGGGCTGGGAGGATGTGGTAACTGGGTGATGATCATTAAGGACGGCATGTGATGTAATGAGCACTGGGTGTTGTATGCAACTGATGAATCACTAAATTCTACCTCTGAAACTAATAATACACTATATGTTAATTAACTGAATTTAAATAAAATTGAATTAAATTAAAAAAAAAAAAAGAAAGTGCCTGTTAGGTAGTAATCACTTAGTGTCTCTGTAAACTGACTCTGAATGTTAACAGAGAGAATGACCCATGTCTCCAAGAACCTAAAGTCTAGCAGAATGGGCTCATCCCTTCCTCTCCCTACTCCCCACCCTCACCCTGCTCTACTCCAAAGGGACCATTCACATCTTGCCCTCCAAGCTCCAGGCCTCCAAGTACATGCTGTTCTCTCCGCCTGCAACTCTGTTCCCAGTTCCTCACCTGGCTGGCTTCCTTCTACCCTTCTCTGCTCAAGACTCAATTCAGGTTTCACATCCCCCTGGATGACCTCCCTAAACCCTTCCATATGAGTTTATATCATGTTCTTCCCCATGTTCTTCTGTGGAGGTTAGAAGTGTAGACAGCGGTTCAAATCACAGCACCACAGTGACAAGTAACATGGGCAAAATGACACAGCCCTCTGTATTAGTCAGGGTTCTCCAGAGAAACAGAACCAATAAGAGACATAGATAAAAAAGATTTGTTATAAAAAATTCATTCATGCAATTATGGAGGCTGACATGTCCCAAGTTCTGCAGTGAACAAGCTAGAGATCTAGGAGAACCAATGGTGTCATTCCAGTTCAACTCCAGAGACCTGAGACCATGGAGAGCTGATGTTTCAGGCAAGCCTGAACAACAACAAAAAAAAACAGTGTCCCAGCTTAAGGCACTCAATCAGTCAGGCATTCAGGCAGGAGATAATTCCCTCTTACTCAGACATCTTGTTCTGTTCGGGCCCTCCACTGACTGGATGAGGCCCACTAAAATTGGGAAGGGCAATCTGCTTTACTCCATCTACCCATTCAAATGTTCATTTCATCCAGAAACACTCTCACAGACACACCCAGAATCATGCTTGACCAAATATATCTGGGTACCCACTGGCCCAGCCAAGCTGACACATAAAATTAACCATCACACTCTGCAAGATTGATTTACTCATCCGTAAGATGGGGGTCATCATGGCACCTACCTCCTTGGAAGGATGGGAAGGTTAGATGAAATACTATATGTAGAGTACTTAGCACAGTGCCTGGTCCAGAGTACACCTGCCATCCAGGCTATCCATTGTTACCTCTGGTGGACTCAACATTTCCATGATGTGTCATCACCACCTAGACAGTGAGCTTCTTGAGGGCAGGAATCAGCCCAAGCCCACACTGGGAGTTCAACAAGTGTCCATGGAAGTCATGAACAAATAATCATGTAATTAACAGGAACATTTCATTATGAAGTTTCATTGCCCATTTCCTCAAAAATTTAAACATAATATTCCCATATGACCCAGCAATTCCACTCCTAAGAATATACCCAAGAGAATTGAAAGCAGAGACTCAGATACCTGCATGCCCATGTTCCTAGCAGCAGTATTCATGGTAGCCAAAAGGAAGAAAGAGATCAGATGTCCATCAACAGATGAATGGATTTGTTTTAAAGTAGTATATCCATACAGTGGAATATTATTCAGTCATAAAAAGGAATAAAGTTCTGATTCATGTTACAACATGGATAAACCTTGAAACCATCATGCTGGGTGCAAGAAACCAGACACAAAGGTCACACGGTGTAGGATTCCATTTCTATGACGTGTCCAGAACAGGCAAATCCACAGAAACAGAAAGCAGATTAGTGGTTGCCAGAGCCCAGGAGAAGGAAAAATGGGAAGTGATTGCTTAATGGGTTTTATCTCAGGATGACGGAAATGTTCTGGAACTACATAGAGGTGGTGGTTGCACAACATTGTGCATATACTAAATTGCTACTTCGTTGTATACTTTAAAAGGGTGCATTTCATGTTGTGTGAAGTTCACCTCAATTAACAAATGCATTGCCAGAAAAAGGTACAAAGTCTTCATGCTGGATCAGACTCTACAATAGTGGTAGCATGGAGGACATTAGGAGAAGGAAGGGAAAAATGAAGGGGGTGGAATCGGAGGGTGAGATGAACCATGAGAGACTATGGAATTCAAGAAACAAACTGAGGGTTTTAGAGGGGAAGGGGAAGAGGGTGGGGGGATGGGTTAGCACGGTGATGGGTATCAAGGAGGGCATGTATTGCATGGAGCACTGGGTATTATATGCAAACAATGAATCATGGATCACTACATCAAAAACTAATGACGTATTGTACGGTGACTAACATAACATAATAAAATAAAATAATAAATAAATAAAAATAAAAAATACAATAGCAATTCTGAAGGGCAAATGCTCTGGTGCCTACTCTGTACGAATGAGTTTAAACCAAGATGATTTCAGCTGTCATTTAGAGGACTAAGGTATGTTTTCTATATTGGGCAGGAATGGGAGGCTGCTTGTAAACTAGCAAATTCAGCTCAGAATTTCCACAAAGACTCAGACCGAAAGAGCAAAACCTTGAAAAGATTTATTTGAACCCTGGTTCTGAATGTTTCTCCAGCCTTTTTGATATATCACTCTGCTTATAACTCTTTTGTGCGATAGCATTTTCCTCCCAAGGCATTCATGCAGCCCATGAACACTTGCTGAGCACCTGCATTTGCCAAGGACTGTTCTAGGTACCATTTTGTGAGCAAGACAAAGTCCCTATCCTATCCAGTACTTTGCTGTCTAGTACTTTAACATACAGGCATACCTCATGTCATTGTGCTTCATTTTATTGTACTTGCACTGCGATTTTTACAAATTGAAGGTTTAGGGAACCCCGCATGGAACAAGTCTATTGGTGACATTTTTCCAACAGTGTTTGCTCACTTCATGTCTCTGTGGCACATTCTGATAATTCTCACGGTATTTCAAACTTTTTCATTATTATCATATTGGTTGTGGTGATCTGTGATCAGTGATTACGACTCGCTGAAAGCTCAGGTGAGCATTAGCATTTCTTAGCAATAAAGTGTTTTTAGTTAAGGTTTGCACATTGCTTATTTTTATTCATTGATTGATTCATTGGCTTTTTTTAAGTTTTTATTTTAAGTCCAGTTAGTTAACATACAGTGTTATATTAGTTTTAGGTATACAATATAGTGACTCAGCACTCCCACACATTACCTGGTGCTCATGGGTGAAATAGGTGATGGGGATTAAGGAGTGCACCTGTCGTGATGAGCACCAGGTAATGTAAGGTTTGTACGTTTTTTAGACAGAATGTTGTTGCACACTTAAAAGACTACAGTATAGTGTAAACAAAACTTTTATATGTTCTGGGAAACCAAAAACTTTATTTGAATAGCTTTACCGCGATATTCACTTTATTGCGGGAGTCTGGAACCAAACCTACAGTACCTCTGAAGTGTGTCTGTGCCCACAAATCCCCTCAGGATCTTGTTAAAGTGCAGATTTGGACTCAGTCCCCCAGGAGGCTGCATTCCAAATGGGCGGCCAGGTGATGCTCATGCTGCCACCACGAAGACCACACTTTAAGTACAAGGATGTGGGGGTTCGCATAAAAATCTTCTTTCCAATCACCTATATTACAATTAGATTATGCCTATATTTATAAAACTTCACCTTGGCTCTCCATTCTTCTCCCCTCTGGTTCATCACTTTGCTTTACTTCTTAGATAAATTTCTTGACTTAAAAAGACCAGTTAGAGGGGCGCCTGGGTGGCTCAGTTGGTTAAGCGACTGCCTTCGGCTCAGGTCATGATCCTGGAGTCCCGGGATCGAGTCCCG